CTGTTTCTCGTTATAGTAAGTGTTGTTTCTCGTTATAGTATGTACTGACTCATGTATGAACTGACTCTTAGCATGTTTCATTGTCCTAGTACTAGTATTAGTGACTTCCTAAACTATACCTATTATAGTTTACTAGCAATGTTGTTGGTATGAATGAACATGATTGAACACCTTTACTACCCAAAGGATCTGAACTGAATAAAGACTTTTATATCTTATATACATATACATAATATATAACTAAGATTCAAATGACCTTCGGACAAACAACCGATGCTCTAAGTCCACAACCAGACAAGGAACAGGAAGTAAGGCGAGTTGTCAGTCCTAAGTCCTTTCAATCCTACTTATATAACTATCTATATATAGATATGTTTTAGACAAAGTATAATGTTTAAAAGAGTTTGATAAAGAGTTTTGCATATAAATACGTTTGTTAAAGAGTTTGCATATAAAAGAGTTTGTAAAACGATTTGGAGTAGTTTGTTTGAAAACACAGTTTGAAGTATAAGAAATCCATTATTTGATAGCTATTAACCACATACAAATGATATAATAAATAAAATGTTTCTACATGTATTCCCCCCATAAAAGCATTTAAAATCATTTAAAAGGTATGTTAAAGGGGTATGAACTCACCTGCAGTGAGTGGTACGAATGAAAGTTCGGTGTGTAGGATGCTAAGTGCCAAGTGAAGACTTGAGCACAACGGATCCTAATAAGCATATATTGGTACATATAGGTATGTAATTAGTCTTTATACAACTAATAATGAAAGGAAAACACCCTAAGGCCTAGAAAACACTTAGATTTAGGTGTTAGAAGCATCAAAAGTCGTCTAAAATGGGTGTACGGCCGTACAGGGGCGTGTGCGGCCACCTGGTGTGCTGCCCATTGTGTGTGCGGCCATGGAGTGTGCGGCCGCACACTCCTAGGAAAAGTGGTCAAAAACGTATTTCCAGAGTCATATCTTGTATCCCCTAAGTGTCTTTGATCGTGTGCTAGCATACAAGTTGAGTTTGAGGCCCTTAAGCACCAAAATAAGGGGTGTACGGCCACATGAGTGTGTGCAGCTGCACACTCCTTGCAGATCAAGTTCTGGACGTTTTCTATGGCTAAAATCTAGCAAATAACATGTAGGAGTAGGATACTTACAATGTAGAAGCGTATAGGGGTGTTTGGAGCCCAAGAACTTAGTAGGTGTTCTTGGTGAAACTGAAGAACACTTGAAGATCTACTAAAATGGAGTGATTTCATGGGTGAAATCAGTGATTTACACTAGATGGAGTAAGGGATCAACAAATCAAAGGATAGAAACACTTACCACTCGAAGATCTAGCTGAAAAATCGGGAGCTACTTGAGAGGAAACGAGTACTTGACTAGGAGGGTGAAAAGGGTGGAATGAAGGCCAAGACTCTATCATATAGGCATGAGTGTGCTGCCAGACGAGTGTGTGCTGCCAGAGGAGGGGTGTGCGGCCGCACACCCAAGTGTACGGCCGTACACTCCTTAAGTTGGAGTGTTTGGCCACTTTTTGTGTCGGGTGAACTTGAGGGACTCAAATCCAAACTTCTAACTTGAAGCTACTAGGTTTAGAACACTCAAATGACTCAAAACAAAGCTAGAAAGTGACAGAAACGAGTCTGACTGATTTGGATAATAGTACAAGATAGAAATTTCGGGTTGTCACAATTTAAACTTGGATCCATTGTTTTTGTTGCTGTAATCGTGGATTCATATAAATATTTTTTTGGAGATGATGTTTCGTCATTCTTTTGTTGATGAACATTCTTTTGCTGATGAACTTGTAATGGTGGGTTTAAATAAAGATTCACTGGGTTTAAATATGTGGCTTTGTGAAGGCCCTTCAAGTGTGTATGTGTGTGAAATATGTGTGTGTGGTTTAAGTTTTACAGGTGAACACAAGGAAGAAGAAGATCGGTGGGGGACCTGTTCTCTTTTTTTTTTTTAAATTAAAACGTATTAAATTAAAAATAAGAAAATTAAAAAAAAGAAACTAAAAGGGCAAAATAGACATTTTAACCTTTTTAGGACCAAAACTACAAAAAATTCTTGATTTTGGACCTTCCATGCAAGTCAAAAACTTTTTGGACTCTATCCACAGTTTCTGACAAACCAGAAGGACTTATTTTGCAGTTTTGTCGTGACTTATGTGTTTATGTACTAGGATATTATATGGTAGAAGTAGGGGTAAAATAATCCCCGGTACCGGTCGAAAGGACCGAAAGGGTAGGCCAACACCCTGATATGCTAGACAAGGTACCGGTCGAGAGGACCGAAAGGGTAGGCCAACACCCTGATATGCTTTATGTGCTAGTATGCTATGATTTTACCATTTTATATAGTATGTTTGCGATACACATAATGGTTAATTGGGCACGATTCGGTCATTAGGCTTGGTGTTGTGAACTCATGGATTAAATCTTTATGCACATACGAAACTTGTATTCTTATTTTAGCAACGAAACTTGTATACTCATTTTAGCAATGAACCTTGTATACTCATTTTAGCATCGAAACTTGTATACTCATTTTAACAACGAAACTTGTATACTCATTTTATCAACGAAACTTGTATACTCATTTTAGCAATGAAACTTGTAAACTCATTTTAGCAACGAAACTTGAATACTTATTTTAGCAACGAAACTTGTATACTCATTTTAGCAACGAAACTTGTATACTCATTTTAACAACGAAACTTGTATACTTATTTTATTAACGAAACTTGTATACTCATTTTAGCGATAAAACTTATAAACTCATTTTAGCAACGAAACTTATATACTCATTTTAGTAATGAAACTTGTAAACTCATTTTAGCAACGAAACTTGCATACTCGTTTTAGTAATGAAACTTGTTTACTCGTTTTAGCAACAAACTTTATTTCCCATGAGAATATGAACTTTGCATCTCATTTTGGCAACGTACTTTATTTTTCATGATGACTACGAACTTTGTTTATGCAAACTTATTTACTCATTTTAGCAATGTACATTTATTTATGGAAAATTCTATCAAAACTTTGATTACGATTCATGAAACCAATATTTTTGTAAATCTGTGAGCTCACCAATTACTTTTATAGTTGACGCTCGTTTTACATGCTTTTTCAAGAATCATCTAGTAAGAGGCACCTAAACACACATCACTTGTAGGAGCATTCAGACATGTTGTCTTTTAAATACATTATAATTTCTTTTAAAAAGTTGTTCAAACTCATTGTAAATTGTAATGCTTTATAATACTATGGTTGGTGTTGTCATTTAACTTTTGCTATGAGACCCTTTGTACTGTTGCGCTTCGTGTTTCCGCTTTAGCGGGGTGTGACATACACATAGTCAACCCAATTCGAATATGAGCATGATTTGCTTCCTGATTTTTTTGGGATTTCTTTGCTGATTTGATGGGACGAGGGGTTTTCAAAAAGACACTGAATAGAGATTGATATAGAAGCCGAAGATAGTATTGACAACGAACATGTTGACAATTTGAAGGGCATTTTAGGAATTTGTCTTTGTAGAATTATAGGCTTTAGAATTGACACGTGACATAAAAGATACTATTTTATTAGGAAGATGATTAATGCAACTTTATTTATAATTTATGAATTTCTAAATCGAATCTAGTTATTTTAATTGTTTATTTATTTAAATTATTTGTTTAAATATAAAAGAGAAATACACACTTCAATTTTAATAGTTAAATATTTTTCTTTTTCTCCTTATCAATTCAAACTTTTTAATTTTTTAGATCTTCATATTTATTTTTATTTTTTTTTGAGCAAACTCATATAGTACATGGTTCTCACAACTAATTTTAATTATGTGAAGCGTACGAACATTTTAATTAATACAAAGTGACTGACTATGTTTTCCATTTTCAAATTATACTAGGATTTATTTTATCATATGGTGATTTCGCCTTTCAACGAGCAACACTTGGTTATTTAATAAAATCATCTCAAATATGTTGATACGTCATTACAACATGTCAAACACCAGCATTTGCTATATCACTTCCATGTTAGTCGCACCAAAATATATAAGTAGAAAAATGGCCATTTCATAAAAATAGGAAAAGGAAGAAAGTAGAAGTTAAGTTAAGACTCCAAATTTTTTCGAGGGAATAGGTATAGGGATACATAAAATAAACTTGGTTACCATTTAGTAATATTTTTTCTTTATTTTGGTTACAAAATTCACAAATAATGGAACAGAATCGTATTTGATACATATGGTCTCAAATGAAGGAAGGGAAATTTGCGAAGCCAAGATATAAGGATGCTCTATTGTAATGTAATTTTGGGCGCATTAACGCGAGCGAGGGAGAGGCGCCAATTAGATCACAGACAAAACCTTTTTGCCGCTTCCAGCGAACACCTTCCCATTCCCTTCCCCCCCTCCTCAATTCCCCCACCCGTTTCCCTTGTAACGATTCCTCCGCCGCTCAACGGCGCTAACCGGCATATGTATATTGGAAACAGACAGCAGCAATAGCCAATCAAGGTAGAGTGGCCGAGTGAAATGGGGCAGCCACCAGTTTCACCTTCTCTCCCGCTCGTCCCACCACCACCACGACCAGGACCACCGGCCTTTCTTAGTTCCGCTGTTACTGGCGGTTGCCAAGTTCGGTGCGCCGGTTGCCGAATGATATTGACGGTTGGCCCGGGGCTGACCGAGTTTGTATGTCCTACATGCCAGTTGCCCCAGATGTTGCCGCCGGAGCTGATGCGGCCCCCCTCTCAGGTGCCGGCCCATGGCATCGATCCTAGTAAGATCCAGCTTCCATGCGCCAACTGCAAGGCCATCCTTAACGTCCCTCATGGTCTATCCCGATTCTCCTGCCCCCAGTGCAAAATGGAACTTGCCGTTGATCTCTCTCGGATTAAGCAGTTCTATCCCCCACCTCCTGAGGAAGTCAACGAGGTTTGCTCTTCCATTCTTAAGATGCACCCATCCTTGCCATTGTGTCACTCTTAATCTTTATCAGCCAAGTTTTGTTGTCTACGATGTATGCATACTTTTGTCTTTAATTTTGACCTAATTTGCTTGTCTCAGTCATTCAGAGACAAATTCATTCTATTTTAGTAATTTGCTCCCTACACATTCATATTTCTGCAAAGTGAAATCTCCTACCATGCCTTACGCCACTATTTTCTTCAAGTCTTCTAGTCATAGGAGTGTAGTCTATCATTATATCATTTTGAATGGCTCATGACTTGGTATATATATATTTTCAGTCAACTGCTTCTTGAGAACATAGAAAGGGAACAAATAGTAGAAAATTAGATGTGTTTTACTTTATTGTTTGCCCCTTGACCTGTCCACTGGCAGCAAATTGCAGAGATTTTGCTGAAGCAAGTTGAGTCATTTCTATTGCCATTTAATTATCTTCTCAAAGATGGGAACTAATCCCCTTAGAATCACAATTTTGGTTTCTTTAATTTGGGATTTGTTGTTACACCTCTCACTATATCTCACATGTTGAGTTAAACCTATTCAGGTAGCAATTGAAGTGGAACGAGAGGAAGATGGTGGAGGCATTGTGGGAGAAACATTTACGGACTATGTGAGTCTTTATCGTTCTATTGAGGTGCTGTAATAGACTTGTCTGTGTTAATAATATCTAAATACTTTGTTGAAATGCAGCGGCCACCAAAGCTGTCTATTGGTCCTCCACATCCAGATCCCATTGTGGAAACCTCTTCCTTATCTGCAGTGCAGCCACCTGAACCCACATATGATCTTCAAACGAAGGGTCACTTGGAAACTTCAAAAGCATTATCATGCTTGCAGATCGAAACACTAGTTTATGCTTGTCAGGTTGCTTTTTTGACTTAAGTATGAGCTTCTAATCTAACCTCATTATGCTTGATGTGCATCATTGTTTGTTTTCTTGACAGAGACACCTGCAACATCTTGAAAACGGCTCCAGGGCAGGGTTTTTCCTTGGAGACGGAGCTGGTGTTGGCAAAGGACGCACAATTGCAGGACTAATTTGGGAGAATTGGCACCTTGGGAGGAGAAAAGCATTGTAAGCACTTGGTTGATGGTTGCATCATTAAGCAATGCAGTTGTGCTAATCATGATATGGTTTTAGGTGGATTTCTGTTGGTTCAGACTTGAAGTTTGATGCAAGAAGAGATTTGGATGATGTGGGAGCAACGTGTGTTGAAGGTATTGATGTATTTACGTTTGTTTGGACGAGCACCATATCCATCTATTAGCTGAATAGTTTTTTAGCATCTGTGATATATGTGTTGTTAGAGTATATGAATGAAAGACGGGGTGGGGTGGTTACTGGAATCACGAATTGGTTTAGATTTTTGATGGGATCGTTTAAACACTTTTCCGAATTTCATAGTTCTTCTCCCCTATGCGTATGCCCGAAATTCAAATTATAGAATAGTCCTATCAAGAACAATTTCAGTCTAGGCATAGACGCATAGAGAGTTTGAATTCTTCTAAATCTCCAAATCTTGTTGGTTATCAAGTTTCTAACTCCATTCATTGGTAATCTTGTAAATTCCATTATTACACTAAAATGTCTTGGTGACACTACTAAAATCACCAACATGTGTGTGTATGTATGCCTACGCAAACTGACGTGCACTTCAATTTTCCTTTTCTTTCTCCTGCATGATCTTTTCACTGTTTCGGTTTATATGTCGACTTGCACAATAGAACTAGATGGATGCTTGTAGGCCAGTTTCAATCTCCAAAAATCTAAAATATTATTTTCTCTTTTCTAGCCAACCGTTTTACTATGAGACCTTTAAGTGCGCCTTTGGTTGCCTTTCACGTGTGACATTGATGGCTGCTTGTGAAGTTCTCATTAGGACGATGAGACAGCTACTAAAAATTGATTGTAATAAGGATCTATTGATTTTTTTTTTCTATTTTCCTAACCTTAATGGTTAGAATTGAAAGGTATTGCTCATGGTTATGTTTTGCTTGCAGTGCATGCGCTGAACAAACTCCCTTATTCCAAGCTTGATTCCAAGACTGTTGGAATTAAAGAGGGTGTTGTTTTCTTGACATATAGCAGCCTTATAGCTTCTTCTGAGAGGGGACGCTCTCGATTGCAACAGCTTGTGCAGTGGTATGGATCAGAATATGATGGGCTTATCGTGTTTGATGAGGTACCAACCTTCTTTTTTTTTTATACAGACTACCACTTGTATGATTGAGTTATAATCCTATCTGTTCAAGTAGCAGCTAACCAATTCAATATGCTTATTACTCATTGCTCACTGAAGTTAGAGACTCCTTTTGCAAATTTTAAGTCTATTTTGGCTGATTTAATCTGACCGTAAGTTAACTCGCTAGCTAGAATGGTGTTTTGGATTTTTTTCTAGATAAAAAAATATATGTTTTGAATTGGATGCTTGTTCATTTTTTAATTGAATTTTAAGGTTGGCAGGAGCAGGACCATAGCTAGCATGCAATGAGTTCTGGGAGTTAGTTAGAACTTAGAAGCTGTCACTTTGAAAAACTCCCGTCATTTTTGTTGAATAAAAATGGTAATAGTGCCAGATAATAATGGCATCCTCACTGGCCACTGCATAGTAATAGCCAATTGGAGGTGTAACCGTAAATATAATAAGGAATTATGTATAAGATCATAAACATAAATTTACTTTGATGTTAACATTCCTAAGAATTTAATTACAACATCTCTACATCTCATTAGTAGCCTTTTTACCTTGTGTTACACACCCCACATGTCTTCATTTTGATATATGCTTTCTCTATTTTCTCTGAACACTTCATTTGCTGCTCTTTGGATCTGTGTTTAGTTTCTCATTAGAAGTTAAAAACCAACCGCATTCTTCGACTCTGGTCTCAGACCACCACCACCTAGTCACAAACCCTTCCTCCCTCATATAAAAAACACCAAAGGGCTTCTAGCCTAGCGGTATTAGGTGTTGCCCTAGCTCCTTGAGGTTGAGGGTTCAAGTCCTGTCTGGGACATAAGTGGATTAAGGAGCAGATTATATTTGCCGTTCAAAAATAAAAATAAAAATATAACACCAACCTTACTATGGATTTCTGCCTCTAAAACCTATGTTGTCATCACCTCACCCCCCCTTACTATGGCTTTACTTTCTATGTATGGCACCGCACCACCAGTTTCCTTGTGGGCATGCATTTAAGTTGTAATCATCTGGTCTTCCGTTTAAGACTCAATCAAAGAGAAAAAAAATCCAAGTATTATGATGTGTGCACATTTATGTAACATTTTCAGGATGAAAATGTGGTCAGACAAGGTTTTTTGTTACATGATAAAAATGTGTTTGATTGGTATCTAGAAGGGTGAAAAAGAGAAAATTAAAATAAAAATCTATAGTGCTTGAGTGGTGTTTGCTTGATTGCAGTGCCACAAGGCCAAAAATTTGGTACCCGAAGCCGGAGGACAAGCAACACGAACGGGTGAAGCAGTTCTTGAAATTCAGGTTTATTCTCACACTAAATCTTCACCTGTTAATCTATTCATGAAACTGTTGTTTATTATTATTGTTAATTAGCTTTGTGTGTTGTCAAGAGGGCTGTTATTGCAAGCAACACCCTTTGTCTTTCTGATGGAGAGGATTAAAACGACATAGTTCTGCTGAAGTAACCAGATATCTCAAGTAGATCAGAGTAAATAAAAGATAGAATTAATTTAACTAGAGTGAAAAAGCAAGCTATCCATATCTCTCCCAAAATGTTATTAAAGTAAGTCAGGGCCTATTATGTATTTGCTGAAATCATAAGGTGCATAACTAACCCAAAGGCACCACCACCAGGGAGAGCTTGCCCAAATGACTTGAATGGTTGATGTTGATTTACCCAAAGCCTTTTGCTACATGTTGGTCTTGTTTGTTTGGTAGAGCTTTCAGTTTTATATTGTATGTGGAAGTGGAACACCCATTTGCATAAGTAGATAAGGCTAAAATGCTGTTTTAAATTTTAATAGGTAGGTATATTCATCATCATTATTATCAGTAATCCTCGTGGTCGTGTTTGGTACACTGCTAGTGCTGCCTCATTTTCCATTAGGCCAGTCAGTGGGTCCAAATAGGTTTAGCAGGTGGTTTTAGTTCCTAAAACATTCTTCTCTTTAATTAGCATGCGTGGTCAGAGAGATAGGAATAGGAAACAAGGCTAGAGGGAGATTAGGCTGAGTGATGATAAAGATGGCACAAGAGATTGAATCTAAAGGAGAAGTCTGGCTCAAATTTGTTCTTCAAGAGCATCTAGGGGGCTAGCTTACTACAGATGAAGTTTAGAGACTGAAAATGCAACTTTGTTTTTAGTGAAGTTGGAAATTATTTCAATTAGAAAACACTTTTTAATCGTAGAAAGTTTAATAAACGTGAAACAGCAACTGTCTATGTTTGCAGATACCTAGCTAATAATCTAAATACATGGCACTTGTAGTTGAAAGCTATCTGTATTATACCTTAGATGTGTTGTATCCAAGAAAGAGAAAGACACACGCAGTAGAATGATAACTGTGTTTTTATGAATAATAGATGCTTACAAGAGGATATTATTATTGTTTGTTCTCCTGAGAAGGCTAAGAGGCCTGGTTTGAATGACAGGCACGACTTCCTGAAGCGCGCGTTGTTTATTGTTCAGCCACTGGTGCATCAGAACCTCGAAATCTGGGTTATATGGTACGCCTTGGTCTTTGGGGAGCTGGAACTTCCTTTGAGGATTTCCGTGAATTTTTAGGTATTATTTCATATATTTTTCTTTTCTTTTTCATACTATAAAAAGCTGTTATGTCATGCCTCCTGTGTAGTTAGTTAACTTAGATGACAGGGATATGCTATGAAGCAGAAATGCTAGAGGTAGACTGTATTCTGTACTTGTAGCATAGCGGGTGTGGCTGTGGCAGGATAGCTAAATGAAATTATATATATTGTGAATTTGTGATACAGCTTAGTTGTACGATCCCCATGCCATGAGACCTTGTGGGATATTTTTTAAAAGTTGACTCATTTTAATTCCATCTTCAGGTTCATTGGAGAAGGAATGTTTCATACAGTACCAAACACATATACTTAGGCGTTTGTAGCATTAGTTTAGGAAAATTAAACGTTGTCAGTTAGAGTATAAGATCCCAAAATAAAAAGGGTTTTGTATTTTCTAAATATGAAATTATTTACTAAGATGCATCAGCTGGTCACCTATTTATAACTACTAGACTCCTAAGGACTTATCCTAATGCTATGTTTACCTCTAAAGACAAAACCTACTCCTAGGCTCCTAGCTTACTGGATTGTAATAAAAAATTTCAACACATATTGTATTAACAACTTTAGGGAAAACCAAATGTATTATCTCCGAATGCTCAAAAACCATTGCTCTAAAAACGTTCGTGGCCATTTTAGAGCAATGTACTTTCATTAAAACCAGGATATAGCAATGTGCTTTCATTATGATGTGCATTAAAACCTGTACAATGAGGCTGATCTTAAACTTCCTTTAAAAAATCAGAACATAAATGGTCACAAAGTGTTAATTTAGGCAAGACCTTAACATAAAATGGTTGTAACGGACAAAAGTATGAGCAACATAATGACTTTTCTGAGCATTGGGAGGTTTTTTCCCATAAGTTTACAATGTTACAGTAGGATCCCATAATAATAATAATAATAATAATAATAATAATAATGGTGTTACACCCCACCAATATAGCAATGTGAAGTTTTGATATAAAATTTACCATACAAGACGTAATGTTGACCAATAATGCATCTTAAATCATTGTAGGCGTCAGTGAAGGTGAGGGTAAAGTAAGTTACTGAAATGACTTAATTCCTAGGTCATCTCATCTGTATTTCAGTTGCAAATTCACATAGAATGCATGCTTTATGAAAGTTTCAGAAGGTTAAATAAATTATAGATTACATTGCTCAGCCACTTGTAATAATACTTATACATTTGTAATTCTCTCTGCATATAAACCAATATTTTAGTGTGCACCCACTTTAATAAGTCATCATCAACCCTCCTACCATGCAGTTGCTCTGGATTCAGGAGGAGTAGGAGCACTGGAGCTTGTTGCCATGGACATGAAAGCACGGTTGGCATTTATCATTCATCATGTATAAGCTTAGCTGATTACTGTTGTACCAAAATGAGGGTTATTTTTCGTTTCAGAGGGATGTATGTATGTCGGACACTGAGTTATAAAGGCGCAGAGTTTGAAGTTGTTGAGGTTCCGCTGGAGGCCAAAATGACGGTACCAAGTAGTTTTCTGTCTTTGCAAGTAAAAAAAATGCATCTACAAGGTTTCTTAATATTTTATTTATTTCATGCCAGGAGGTATACAAAAAAGCAGCTGAATTTTGGGCCGAATTGAGGGTGGAATTGCTATCTGCAAGTGCATTCCTTGGAGATGAGAAGCCTAGTTCCAGTCAGTTGTGGAGATTATATTGGGCCAACCATCAGGTTTTCCGATTAACATTAACATCATATATATATATATATATATATATATATATATATATATATATATGTTATATGTGTGTGCGTGCCCGAATGTTATGTTTCCTCCGTGGTTGCTTTAATTTTTGTTGCTTCTGTTATATTCTAGCGTTTCTTTAGGTATGTCTGCATGTCAGCCAAGGTACCTGCTGTTGTAAAGCTTGCGAAGCAGGCATTGATGGACAAAAAGTGTGTAGTGATTGGTCTTCAAAGTACCGGGGAGGCAAGAACAGAAGACGCAGTCACAAGATATGTTAGTGCATGTGTTTTGTCTTTGCATGTCATGTTAAAAAACCAAAAATAGCATTCGCATGTATTGTATTCTGATTTCTGATGTATGTATGTATGTATGTATGTGCACACTTGTAATTAATAGGGCAATGAACTTGATGATTTTATTTCTGGACCTCGTGAGCTGTTGCTTAAGTTTGTTGAAGAAAACTATCCTCTGCCTGAAGAGCCTGAATCTCTCCCAGGTGTTCATTCGATTATGATTTATGCATGCCTCGGTTTTTAACTTTTTTAATTAATATTAGGATTTTCGTTTTATCCCTGGTAGGAGGAGAGGATAGTGTGAAGGAACTTCAGCGCAAGAGGCACTCAGCAACACCTGATGTTTCATTTAAAGGGAGGGTCAGGAAAGCTGCAAAATGGAAACCCGCAAGTGATGATGAGACTGATGAAGATTCCGAATGTAAGTTATGCAGAATGCAGCCACAGCCAGCAATCTACTTTCTTTGTGTGCTCGAGTTGAATTGTAACTAATGGTATTTCTAATTTGCTGTTAAACCAAACAGCTGATTCTGGGCATGAATCTATGGAATCAGATGATGAGTTTCAGATATGTAACATATGCAATTCAGAAGCGGTATATGTGCCTGCCTCTCTTTCTTGTTGATATGTTAACATGCTCTTGATTATACAATCTAATCTATCTTTTCATGTATGTATGTAGGAAAGAAAAAAATTGCTCCAGTGCTCATGTTGTGGTCAACTCGTACATCCAGCATGTGTTATCCCACCCGAACCAGAGACGGATGCAATATCTGCCACTTGGTCTTGTCATTCATGCAAGGAAAAAACAGAGGAGTATCTCCAAGCAAGACATCTATATGTAGCTGAACTACTACGGAGGTTGCTTTTTTTTTTTTTTTTTTTTTTTTTTTTTTTTTTTTGTAGTAACATTGTTTTTGCCAGAAGAAAATATATTACAAAGCTGAATTGACCTGATATGATAATTTGAATGTGTTACTGCTTAACCTTTGGTATGTGGAATGTGTTAGATATGAAGGAGCCATAGAGCGCAAGTCAAAGATTTTGGACATAATCCGTACTTTTGAGCTTCCAAACAATCCATTGGATGACATTATTGATCTGGTAAATAAGGTTTTTCTGTGCTGTATGTATGTATATATATATATATATATATATATATATATATATATATATACATATAATGTAATCATCTATGTTTAATGTTTTGCACTAATTGCAGCTTGGAGGCCCTGATAATGTTGCGGAAATGACAGGGAGACGAGGTATGCTTGTAAGGGCCTCTAGTGGAAAGGGAGTGACTTATCAGGCACGAAACACGTGAGTGAGTTTATTATTATGGTTGGGACTTTAAGTTAAGATCTGATTTGGTTTAGTTGGTCTAGGATGTTATACTATTAACAATGTATGGTGTGTGATACAGGAAGGATGTGAGTATGGAAATGGTGAACATGCATGAGAAACAACTGTTCATGGATGGTAAGAAACTGGTTGCAATCATTTCTGAAGCTGGGTCTGCAGGCGTCTCATTGCAGGCTGATAGGAGAGCCTTGAACCAGGTAAATGCTAAATACTAAATGAAATGCCTATCTATCTTGCAGCCATCATCCTTAATGGGTTTTTTTTTTTGGGGGGGTTTGGGGATCAGAGAAGAAGGGTCCATGTAACTTTAGAACTGCCTTGGAGTGCTGATCGTGCAATCCAGCAATTTGGGAGGACTCACCGTTCAAATCAAGCTTCTGCACCCGAGTACAGGTAGATATAGCTATGAATCCAATCCAGCATAACCAAGTAGTAGGCTAGGCTTTGTGTTGTATTGTATGGGTGTGGTATATTGATTTCCAAAAAACACTGAGAGAAAGCTGTGGCTGTATAGGATACTGTTCACAAATCTTGGAGGTGAGCGGCGGTTTGCTTCCATCGTTGCAAAGAGACTGGAGTCGCTGGGAGCCTTAACACAGGGTGATCGCCGGTAAGTTTGGGGATACACTTTCCTTGATCAGAAAAGCAAAAGAAGCAAATGGTAAAGTTAAACATTTCCTTTCATTTCAGGGCTGGACCATCTCTTAGCGCCTACAATTATGATAGTTCTTATGGGAAAAAGGCCTTGCTCATGATGTACAGGGGAATCATGGACCAGGTTTCTCTCTCTCTCTCTCTCTCTCTCTCTATATATATATATATATATATATATATATATATATATATA